ATAATTGTCTTATGTAATCTTAATTATAAGATCACGTGACGATAAATGTACGAAATGCATTGTACTATAATATTTGAGTACAGTACATTATTTAGGACAGTACTAGTACAGTACCGGTACAGTACTAGTACAATTCCCAATCCTGGGTATTAGTAAACACAGGGAAAAATTGACAAAAGTACCTGTAGCTGAAAGTGATCCCTCTATCTATATTTGATAGTAGTTCTGAGGTCTAGGGACTCTGAGAGCTAGCTCTTGGGGAGTCGACTTAGGTGGCAATCTTCAGACCAGTATTACAGGGTGGGTTCTGACTAGAACTATGTGTCTAGTCATGACTTTGTGGGATTCTTAGGATATAGAGGGTAATACCTTAATACTTCATTTAATGTTTCTTATGTACCGGATACTGTAACTTAAAAAAAAAAAAAAAAAGTATATATGATATTATTAAAATGTATACCTTTTACATGTGTGATTTTTGGTTTAGATTTTATATATTGCTTATCTTTTATTTAAAATAAGATTGTTTAGAAAGATATAATTATTGAAAAATAGTAGAATTTATAATTTTGTCTAATTTTTTTTAAAAAAAAATAATTAAAAATTTAGAAAATTTTTTTAAAATCCTCTTCTTACCCTTAAAATATTTTTTATTATTTAAATTCTGATATAATCTAAGATTACTAAAAGTAAATTTTTTCTTTAGTTCAGCTTATTTTAGTTAAAGAAAATTACTATTTTGCAAAAAAATGTATTATATTAATATTCTTTTTATAAAAGCTTTTTTAAAAGATTAGTAAAAAAAACAATATATATAATTTAAAGTTTAATATAACTGATTTTAAAGAACTACAATACTTTATTTAATCAAAAAATTAATAATTTTATATTTAATAACATTTGTTATTATCTTTAATTAATCATTATATGTAAGATGTTAGATAAAACCTAAAGATTTTGCAAGTTATTTAAATGAAAAAAGATAAAATTTAATAAAATTATATTAAATTTTATTAGTGAAATTCTGAAAAAAGAATTAGCAAAACTAAAGTTTAGACATTTTATCAAATCCAAAATGAGTTTAAACAAATAACCTTAATTGTATGTTTTATTATCATTTGATACTACTCTGCTTTAGATAATGCTATATATATATTCCTAAATTAAAGCTGAATTTTAAATACATTTTTTTTGATTTTAAATAGTTTTGAACATAGGAAAATGTATTTATAACCTATCCATAAATTGTCTAATTTCCAATACCATTATAAACAATTTATCAATACATCAATATAAGAAGAAGTTATTAGATTAATGATAAACAGGTTTTTGAAATTTATATAAATAATGGTCAGAAGTTCGGATTTCGATGGATTTCTTTCGGATATGAATTCCGGTTTCGGTTATAGGAATTAAAAAAAAAGGTTTCCGAAAGATTACCAGTATTCTATTTAAATATCGCAAACGTGGCAATATCCATCTTTAAAAATTTCTCGTTACTTATTTATACTGTATAAAAAATAAAAAATTCTTGATAGTTTATAGATCTATTTGCTTTATACGTTAAAGGGCAAAACTATTTTAGATCTTGCTCACATTTTCTTCTCAATTTTTGATTATATCTTGGGGTTTAAGTCAAAGTAATGGAAGTCAATAGAGACGAAGCAATCCGATGTTTAGATATTGCACACAGCCGTTTAGCTTCAGGAAATATAACGGGAGCAATTAAGTTTGCTCAAAAATCCATCAATTTATTTCCAACACCCGAGGCTCAAGCTTTTCTTAAAAGAGTTGAATCACGTAAAACAACACAAACACCAAATGAAAGTAACAATCATAGAAGCGCCTCACCTCCACCACCTCCTTCGCCTTCAAGTTCTTCTAGGGAACATAAACAAGGAAGGCAAACTAGGGAATATACTACCGAGCAAGCTGAAGCTGTTAAGCGAATAAGAGCTTGTGGTGTACACGACTTTTATGCTATACTTGGAATAAGCAAAGAAGTTAGCGATTCGGAAGTTAAGAAGGCTTATCGAAAGGTTATTGTTGGATATATTTAAATTTTAAATATATTGTCAAATAAAATTGGAATTAATTAGTGTAATATAGAGTCTATTATAAATACTTAACTACGAACAATTGCTAAAATGGCCTTTATTATTTTACCTTCGAAAAAAGTAGCTGGCTTTACAGATGCACCCGGACAAGAATGGTGCTCCGGGAGCAGATGAAGCGTTTAAGAGTCGGTTTTCTAATTGAATCTTGTTTTTTTTTAAAAAAAAAATAATTATCTATACGGAATTTATTTATTTTTTATTCTAATTCATCTAATCATTTTTTATTTTAACCCCAATTTTTAATTAGTGGTTAGCAAAGCTTTTCAGGTTTTAAGTGATCCACAAAAACGCGCAGCTTTTGATGAAAATGGGGTTGATCCAGATTCACGTAATAGTGGTGGAATGCCACCAGGTTTCGGAGGTGCACGATTTAATAATGGATTTTCAAATGGGGCAGTCTTTGCTGATGAAATTTCACCCGAAGAACTTTTCAATATGTTTTTCAATGCGGATGGTAGGTAGTTGATAACATATGCACATTATTATATATTTATATATATCATTTTTGGGAATAAGGATACTAAAGTAAATATTTTTCCTCAAATTATTTAGGATTTCATTCGGCAACATTTGTTGGGCCAGGATTTAGAGCACGTCGGTTTCAACCAAGAAGAGCATCACCTAACGGAGATGGTGCACAAGAACAACAATCATCAGCAATTCTTACATTTCTTCAACTCTTACCACTTATTTTACTTTTCTTCTTTTCATTATCATCAAACTGGTTAACACAAACTCCAGAACCTATGCCAGCATATTCACTTCACCAAACAGATTATCATACACAATCCAGATATACACATTCATTAAATGTTCCATATTATGTAGACCCAAAATCATTTTCATCATTTGAACAAAATCCAAGAAGATTACACAAATTTGAAGATAACGTTGAAGTTACATTTGTTAAATTATTAACGTCACATTGTAATAATGAAGCAATCTTTAAACAACGTAGAATAAATGAGGCAAGAGGTTGGGTATTTCAAGATGAAGAAAAACTAAAAGAAGCTCAACATATGAAATTACCTAATTGCGAAAAATTAATGGACCTTAGTAAAACTAAAAGATATAATGAAGTACGGAGAATGATGAGATCTTGAAATAAGAAAATATATTATACTAATCTTAATAATGTGGTTTAAATAATATATATTCTTTGCTTTTTTTTTATTTAAACAAAATATTATGTAAAAAAAAAATTAAAAGTTTACTTTTCTTAATTGAATTAATATTATTTGAAACATTGCTTTCCTGCAATATGTATAGTTATTTGTTTTGTTTGAAGTATAGTTTATTATTTAATATATAGATAAACAAAACTTTAGACTTTGTTTGCTTATAATATTTCTAAATTTTTTCTTACAATTTATTTTTATTTCTTTTTTCTTTAAAAAAAAAAAAGGTTTTTGTTATAAATTAATTTATATAAAAATTAATTATTTGTTTAATAAAAAAATATATATATATTAGCAATAATCAAATGTAATATTTTGTCAATTTTAGTGAATTCTAGTAAATTTATATATCACTTCATTTATTGATTTAACGAGCAAGTTCGACCGACCATATTTTACACCCATTATAAAATACAAGAAAACATTAAAATTGTTATAAATAATGGTAATTATCACCAGTTTACGCTTTACAACAAATAATAATAAAAACAAAGATAAAAACAAACTTATACAACTAATCCACGTTTTTGTACGTTACTAGTATTATCTTTTGATATTCCTAATTGTAATTCCTTATTAATTTCTTCAATTCTAGCTTTATCAGATTCTACATCTTTTAACTTAGATTCTAATGCTGCAACTTCATTATCTAAAGACATACGCTCTTCTTTTGTACCAATTGTCTCAAATTTCCATGAACCTTCATCTCCACTAAGAAGTAAAAGATGTGTATGGTATTTGAATAAAGATGGTCGATGAGATATGGTAACAAGAGCTGTAACAATAATATAAATTATTCATTAATATTTATTAATAGAGGCATACATTTTTAAAACTAATAATACTTACTGATACCAACGTCCTTTGCATGTTGATACATTAATCCTTCAACATCAGAACTAACAGCACTTGTACCTATATTACGAAAATAAATAACACCATTTATAATTTAACATAACATTACAACCATGCAAAAATACAATAATTTTAACTTACATTCATCAAGGATCGCAAATTGAGGATTATGGTAGAAAAGTCTTGCCATACCAACCTAAATAAAAAAAAATTTTTTTTTTAAAAATTATCACCGAGAAAAATTGTTCCAAGATTTTAATACTTACCCTTTGCTTTTCACCGCCAGAAAAAACATCTTTCCATTCTTTCTTGGTCTCCCATCCACCTTCACGTTCTGGAATATAAGCCAAATGAACGGTATGTAATATACCCATTAATTCCTCATCTGTTCGATTGGCACGAATCATGTCCATATAAGAATGTGGATAAATTATTCTTTTTTTTTAAAAAAAAAAAAAAAGTTACAAAAAAAAAAAAAAAAAGATAAATTATATAATTATCAATTAAGAAATGTTCATACTGATCACGAAGAGTGCCTATGCTGAGATATGGACGTTGAGGAATATAGAAAATATCTCCAACATTTGGACGTGAAAGTACACCACCTAAATTTTGAATGATATCACGAGAATAATTATTGGAAAGGCTGGATATAGGATTAGAACATGAAATACGAAACAACATGAACTTACGGAAAACAGGCCATAGTTTAGAAATAACTCTTGCAATGCTCGTCTTTCCAACTCCATTAGGTCCAGTGACCAACAAATGCTCACCAGGATTTATTACTATATTCAATCCTTTTATTAATTCATCTCCGCCCCTCGAGTTTCCTGGATTTGGTGTGACAATGGGAACTCCTTCGAATTTGATACCATTGTAGCCATATACAACTTCTCCGCGAATATCATCAAGTGAATAGAATTCTTGATCTTCAGGGAATGATGCTGGGCGAGGTGTAGCAACATACTCGCTAGCATACAAAGAATGAAGGACTGAAAGCAAATTATAGACTCTGGAAGTATAACCTGCAAGTTCTGCAAGTTCTTTATATGAATACATCATACGACCACCAGCATCGGCAAGTGTTATCATAAGTCTAACAAGTAATAAAGAATATATCAATATCAAATCACAGATAAATAAAATACTTCTTAATAATTACCTCTTATTTGTAATGAAGCCTTTAGTCCGATCTCTTTCTTTACCATGATTTTTAGAGCCACCTTGCATTTCAATTTTCCCCCCCTGTCCGCCATAAGCAGGAAAGAATACTGGTACAGAACACACTAAAAGTCCAATAGCGCTCCAACAATATTTAATTACAAAATCTTCAAACATGTTGTATGCAATTCGTATTTTGAAAATGGAATTTATATGTTTTACTAATCGAATATATGTGCGTTCTAAAATGGAATGCTCTAATTCAGCTCCATGATAAAAAGCAATTTCTTCGGCATTTGTGATTAAACGAGTGTGTGCTGCACGGAAATCTCCCTCCAATTTCGCTTCAATGGCTGCTAACTTTCCAAAAGCTGGCGTAACTTTTCTTAGAATCCAGGCTGTTACTAAATAATTTCCAAATAAACCCAACATTCCAAGTAAACCAATACTCTTTGTTAATTGATAATTAAAGATAACTGTATCCAATACTGGTTTACCCAGATTTGAATACAATGAAGCAAGTCCATCACAAAATCGTGCAATATCGGTTGTAATAAACCTAATAATAATAAAAAAAAATGAGCATTTTTAATTTTATTTATACAATCACTTTCACTTGTACATTGAGAAAAAAAATAATATACTTAACTGGTCTGCTCCTTCAATCCTATTATCTAAGTTAATAGCTTTGTAATAAGCATTTTGATCATTCAAATAAAGATCATTTGCATATCTTGTCAATCGCGTTCGAAAAGCGATAGACAATTTTGATTGGAAAAATCGGATCTTTACATACACAAATTGATGATCAATATGTGTAAATATTAGATTAAACAAATTTTGAAACAAAGCATTAAAAATGAAATTTACCATGCTGTTGGTGTATGTGGCAGGGATAGCGATGAGAAACCAATATGCGATTCCCTTAAGGAATTCTTTACCGTTTGCTGCGACCTACAATAAATGAATCTATTTTGAATCATGGTGAATTTTGCAATTTCTTTTGATATCAAATTGGTTAAACAAACATACCAAATCTCTAACAATTCGCCCATCCAGTCTTGCTACTACTATACTTAACCATGACCTTAAAACCAAAAATATGGAATGTAATAACAAGATAATAACTTCCTTTGAACGAACTTTTGGGAGTATTATTTTAAAAATGGCAGATAGTTGTCCAAAAAATATCTTGTTTACACCAACCCTTTGATTCACATTATCAGAAGGAGTAAAAAGTTTTTTATGTTTTTTAAAAGTTTCAGGTGGAGTCGGACGAATAGTAACTTTTGCGGTACGATTCTTATAAGGAACAGTCAAAGTATATTTATGATTTCCAGGAACGGGACCATCATATAAATCAGCTTTGCTACTAGTAGCTCGTGCAAAAGAAGGTCTGACTTGAGCTGTCTCAGCCTGTTTCTTATAAAAATAATTCGTGATGTATGCAGCGATTGATACAGCAGCTATCGAAACTGCTACTTTTGTTTTATTATTAATTCGGGAGTTGCCATTATTAGAATTTGAATTAAGAACTGCCTGTATGGCCGAAGGTAACTCATTAATTGGCTTTGAAAAAGCTACCATATCCGACCAAATAGAATAAGACAGAAAGAAATCTTTGTTCTTATTAGTTAAATAAAAACGTTTTTAAGATATCAGTAAAGATAATCGTAATCGTACTCGTACTCGTGGTTTTATTAATTTCATCTGATAAAATTATTTATAAATAATATAAATCTTATATAAAAAAAAAAAAACCATTTTTTTACTTATCATGAATTTATGATCTTAAAATCCAAAAGTCCACGATCTAATTTTCTATAAACAGCTTTCCTTTAGACGTTCATTTACGTAAAAATGTCACGTGAATGGTGTTTTAGTGTTTACTTTTTTTGGATAATTTTTGAATATCCACCTAACGCGCGAAGGTTCACGTCTAAAAAGAAATAAAAATAAAATGTCGAGTGTGCAAAATCCTGACGCGAAACACGTGAGATTTATCGAGTTAAGCGACAAATTTTTTTTTTGTAAACCTATGTTTTGATATTCGAAGAAAGGACTTTTAATGACATCATAATTGTTAATGAACCTAGCGATGATAATGAAGTTGCGGAGACTGTATTAACTAATAACGAAAATTTGCACAAAGAATCCGAAAAGTGTCCACTTCCTACACTTTCAGTTTCTACTATGACTTCTACTAATAATGAACAAAAGCATAAGAAAAAAAGTAATGTAAATTCAGTTTAATCATATTGTTCTTCAAATACATTCCTGACCGACATGAAAAAATTATTTTCAATAGCTCGTGAAGTTCCGTCACGTTATATGCAATCTATTTCGGGCAATTCTAATGCCTCATCAAATAAAAATCAAGATATTAAAAAAAATGCTATATCCAAACCAGCCATCGAAGGTAGCAGACCCAGTGTCAAACCAATCAAAACTGTACAGAAACAATTGGGTATATCTCGAACGATCGCTCAGAAACGTAAATCCCAAAAAATTGTTACAAGTTTGAATAAAAATCAAGGTATAGAAATATGTTCTGTATTACTTTAAATCATTAATTATATTAATTCAACTTTCTAATATAGAAACAATAAACCAGGTGAGATTAAGTAAATAAATTCTTATACATTATATTAAATGTTAAATTCAAGTCTATCCGATTTTTCCGAGAAAAGGATCAAAATAAGGCTACCTTACAAGATTGTCAATCTCCAACTGAGGTGAGAACCATATTTTCTTAATACATTCAGCACATAATATGTTATTCACAATTCATTTTTTTATTTTAAGAATCGTAATTTAGATGATGAATTGATAATGTTAAATGCACGATTGACGCAATGGTGTTTATTAAACGCTAAAGCAGAACATGCTTTTGAGTATCAAAAAAGAACTGCAGAGGTAGAATTTCTTTTATCATATTGTCAACTATTCTCTAAAATACTAAAATAATTTATTTAGATTCAATTATTGGATGCATGGGAATTGCTTGTAAAGAAACAAGAAGAATTGTCAAAGGCCAGTCACAAATTTACATTGGAGAAAGAAATTATCTTCCTAAATACGACTTTAAAGCTTCAGGTAATCCAAAATTGGTAACTAAAAATATTTCCAAGCATAGAAATTAGAAATTAGGATATAAATATTTATTATTTTTTTTTTTAACGTTTAGCGAGACATTTTATTACAAATCAACGAACATTTTGAAAATTTTAAGAAACGTTACATTTTATTTGCGTCATCTTTAGCAAGCACTACAACAGCAATGCCAATTGCTAATATAATAACCGGTGAATTAGGTATGTCTAGCACAAAAATTATTATCTAATTCTTTCAATTTGCTCATTATCATTATTTTTTTTTACAGATCAATTAAAGAATGAGATTATCACGTGTTCGATAGCAGCTGAGGACGTTTTACGAAAATGGGACATGGAGTCACCATTGGTAAAATTACCGTATTTTCATTTGAAGTGAATCGTAATTAATTAATTAATTAATCAACCTTTAATACGCCTTCAAATCAGACACATGATGTCGCCCGGTCAATGCACACATTATGTATGAATATAAAAAAAGAGATTCAAGAGTTAAATGAGTGCAATGCCCTTCTTCGTGAAATTTCTGAAGCTGAAACCATTGAGGCTAGCTTGAGAATACAAAAGGTCGAGGCTATAAATAATACATATCAATTAACCAGATTAGATTAAACATTACAATATTTAGATGTCTTACCAATGGGTTTAAAAAGAACGATGAAAGAATTGCAAATCAGAATTTTTTTTTTTTTTTTTTTTTTTTGATTGATTGAAAGTTCCTTTCTTTACAAATCGATTTACATCGTTAGTTTTTTTAAAAAAAAAAATATAAAAGGAATTCTAATTGGTAATTTTAAATTATATTTTAAAATAATTTGTGTTACACAATAAATATTTTTTAATTTAAAAATATAAATTTAAAAAGATAATATTAGGTTCGAATTGCTAATAATATCACACAATATTGAACTAACCAAATCTTAAGTAATGATTAGAATATATTTTCATTTCCATGTAAATTTCTAAAACTTGCAAATCAATTATAGTAAAAAACATAAATTACATAAAAAAAAAGAGCCCAGCAACCATTCAAAAAATAAAATATATTACTGGACAAAATTTTGATTTTCTAGTTGCATCTATTGTATTTTTGACCAGAATTTGAGGTACGTGACCAGATCCTTGGGCTAAATAAACGGAAACAATCGGCCGAATACAAAGACTATAAATTATAGAATAATACACTAAGCTAGGTGGTAGTTTTTGTAAATACGAGAAAAACAGAACAAGATTTCTGTCCGACTATATTGATACCTGTTCTTTTGCCTGTTGTGTGATTGAATAATAAAATGAATAATAGTAATAATAGTCCACAAGAAGAAGTCACTGTTAAAACTACGCCTACATCAACTTCACTATCAACTCCAGCTACTCAATTTAGGTTCAAAGTTAATAAAACTTATCATAACAAAATGCACGTCCCACGAAGAAAAACTGTATATAACTTTTACGAGTTTGTGAGTATCTTTTTTAAAGTATTTACATACTTTTTTTTTTCTTTGTTTTTGAGTGGATTATCGTTAACATTTCCTATCTTATTCTTCTTTAACCTATTTGCGCCTTAATACTTTACAATCAAATTACAAAATTAATAGCAAAAGAAGTGTCTCGAATTATCTGCCGATTACTATCAAGGTATCTCGAATCTTTTAAAAGAAACCGATGTTTCATTATTTCTAGCACCGCCAATGCCGGGAACGGATCCTCTCCATATTATCAACGAGACTGGAATGGTAATCAGTGGTATGCTAAATCCGGGCTTGGGTGGATATGCTGTTAGTCCCCAAAATTATAGTAATAAAAAATTAAAAAGACATGGGAGGGATGATATTTCAGCTAGTGGAGAAGAGGCTTACAGTTCCGAAAATCAAAAAGCACCAAAACATAGACGAGCACCAAGACAACTTTGGACAGATGATGAAGTAGAACGGTTGAAAGCTGCCCATGACAAATACAATGGTGATTGGGAACTAATTATTAAAGAATTTGAACCTGAGCGTACCAGGTATGTTGGAGTTTTGTATTTATTACGATTGATCTATTTCTTAAAACGTAGAGTTGATTTCGGTATTATTATGAGAACTTTATATTGAATTTGGTTCAAGAGCAAAAAATTTTTATTCCAACATTTTAGTAAAAGAGATTTAATCATACTATAATTAATCACGATAAATTTTGTAGAATTCAAATCTTCCAGAAGGCACGTCAGATGGGACTTCGCGCCGTAGAATCTGGGAAACTGATCGACCTTTCAAAACCAAACGCGATTATCGAATATCACAATGCAAATTTACCGGAAGGAACGCTCGAAGATGAAGGAATCGAGTTCGAACAAGAAAATGTCGGCGGCGATTGGGTACAAGAAGAGGATGACGCTGTAAACGACGGTTCAAACGATTGAGAAAATCGAGAAATAGATCATTTTTATATATATATTCATTTTTTTTTAATTCTCTTTATGTTTTATTACATCTAAATAGCCGCACAACTTTTTACTCTTTTTTTTTTTTTTTTTTTTTCTCTTGATCCTTTACTTCAACTAGTGTACATAGATCGCGGCTTTATATCCTTCCACTCAAAAACTCTTGATTTCCCGATGTTACAGATATTGGTACCGATTTTAATGTCTTAACATCAACATAATTTCTTTTTTTTTATTTTACTTTTACATTTTTGGCGGGCGTAGTATCTAAAAAAAAAAAAAAATTTAATAACGTTTCGCAAATTTTCTTGCGCAATTTAAAAAAAAAAAAATAAAAACTTCAAACTAAACGTGATTCAATTCACGTGTACAAAGAATCAAAGATCTATCATTTCTTTTCAGAACATCCTTTGAAATCAAATGATGATTGATATCAACTAGATCATGCACATAATATTTTGTGTAAATCTAGTTTAGATCGTAACTTCATCATAATATTATCATCGGTTAGAAAAGATGAATTTCCATTGATATTAGAAAATCAAAATAATAATAATGCAATACGTTCTTTTCTTCTTTTAATCCAATTGAGAATATTATTTTATTGTGCAGTGTTAGTAAATGTGATTTGATGATCCTCAATTTTTGACCCAAATTTTCGTTTATTTCACAAGCCTATTACAGAAATCTTTTGAATCGTCGTTCAACCATTCGTTTATAATTCGTTGTGTTGCATACACGCATAAAACATGTTAAATTTCTATGTTACACGAATTATTCCGCGTTCTTGTTCGAAAATTTATTTAACCGGGTAACACACAGTATCACTTTATTGTCTAAAAAGACATTATTAACTACCACGTTTTTAAATACAAACATCTATTATTAAAATTTTCTTCACTTTATACATACATCTGAATCATAAAATAAAAAAATAAAAAAAATGGCAGATTATGATATGCAAAATTCAGGATCACCGTCTTCAGGTGGCTTTGGTGGTAACGGTGGACAAGAGTACGTGGTTTTTGATAGATCTACCGACGGTTTTTCCAAAGGTACCTTAGACAGATCTACTGCTGCGAAATTAAAATTAGAGCACTTCTATAAGGTTACGTTGGATCAAGCAAGAGAACGTAACGACCGGCAAGTGAATCTTTTTTTACTAAAATAGATGTTAAAACGACTTTGCATTTAAAAATATAAACGTCCATTGTCATCACTAGTCGATCTAATAATTTTATAATTTCTATTTATCTAGACGTAATGAACTTGAAAAAAAACTTGAAAAGGAAGACATTTCAGATGAACGAAAGAACAGACAACTTCAATCGCTTGGACGAAAGGAATCTTCTTTCTTGAGACTTCGAAGGACTAGATTAGGACTGGAAGATTTCGTTACTGTCAAAGTAATCGGTAAGGGTGCATTTGGTGAGGTATGTCAAAATTTAGAAGGTTAATATACGCACATACTGTTAGATCGGTTGAAATCTTATAAATTTATACTAAAATGTATGTTATATTAATTGTAAGCTAGGTTCGATTGGTTCAAAAAGCAGATACAGGTAAAATATATGCGATGAAAACGTTAAGAAAAGCAGACATGTTTAAAAAAGATCAGGTGATTTTATTATAATGCAACATTACATTTTTTTTTAATATTATTAATTTTATTAATTTGATGATATTATTTAGTTAGCGCATGTTAAAGCTGAACGCGATGTTCTTGCTGAATCTGATTCTCCATGGGTGGTGCAATTATTTTATTCATTTCAAGATGCGTCATATCTTTATCTCATTATGGAATTCTTACCCGGCGGCGATTTGATGACAATGTTGATCAAATATGATACCTTCTCAGAGGATGTAACGAGATTTTATATCGCAGAATGTGTCTTAGCCATTGAAGCAATTCATAAATTAAATTTCATTCATCGGTAATTATATTTATATTTATATACATACATATATACAAATATAATATATATGTGAGAGGCTTGCTATTAAAATCATATTCGGATCTTATGATTTATTATATCTCGTAACTTGATTTTAATAGCAAACGGCACACATTACATATATATATATATTTAATTATTTATTTATTCACTAGACGTTTTAATCAAACTCACAATGTTTAATTATTTAGAGATATAAAACCAGATAACATTTTGATTGATAAAGATGGTCATATCAAATTATCCGATTTTGGTCTATCTACTGGTTTTCACCGAACACACGATTCTGCATATTACCAAAGACTTTTGGATGGAAGTCTTAATAGTTCATCCGGTCATAGGCAATTAGGCAGTGAGGCTAATATCAATTTAACATTATCTAGTAAAGATAGGATCGCCACATGGAAGAAAAATCGAAGAGCTTTGGTATTGATATTTGATGTTACTTGATATTTATACGCGTTAAATAAGAACATTTCTGACTTATATCTAATTTTATAGGCTTATTCCACAGTCGGTACACCAGATTATATTGCACCCGAAATTTTCTTACAACAAGGTTATGGTCAAGAATGTGATTGGTGGTCACTTGGTGCCATCATGTTTGAATGTCTCGTAGGTTATCCACCATTTTGTAGCGAAAATGCTCATGAAACTTATCGTAAAATTATCAACTGGCGGGATCAACTGTATTTCCCTGATGATGTTCATTTGAGTCCTGAAGCAGAAAACTTAATTAGACGGTATACCTTTTGCTTTCATATTGACTAACTTTAATACCCTCAAGATATTAATTTATGAAATGTTTTGTTGATGGTTAATCAGACTCATTTGCGCACCTGAACAACGTTTGGGACGTCATGGCGCTGACGAAATTAAAGTTCATTCATTCTTTTCTGGAGTAGATTGGGAAACTATTCGTAACATCGAAGCACCGTTTGTTCCTAATTTGAAATCCATTACCGATACCAGCTATTTCCCTACAGAAGATTTGGACAAGATTCCGGAACAACCTCAAACAATTGGTAAATTTAACTTTAAATTATTTAATTAAATATTTTTTTTCAAGTTCCTAATTAACTTTTTATTTTTTTAAAAAAAAAATTAGAACGCAACAATTCAAACGTTGCTGGAGAATATAACCAAAAGGATTTGGCTTTCGTTGGTTACACGTTCAAGAGATTTGATGACCTTACAAGAAAGAATGCTTTGTAGATTAATTTTTATCTAATTATTTATTTATTTATTTATTTTTTTTTGGGGGGTTAAAACTTTTTGGTTTGGGTTAAATCAAAATATGAGGATAAGTTTCAAGTAGAATTTTCAAGAAAAAGAATAAGATAAAATTTATTTTATTGTTTTTTTTTTTTTTTTATCGATTTCGGTAAGGAATTCAGCAGAAATATTAAACATGTTTAACCGAAATATATATATATATATATAATAACTTTTTTTTTTTTTTTTTTTTAAAAAAAAAAAAAAAATAATATAAAGATGTATAGAGAAATTGAAATTATAATTTATAATTTATAAATTACAACTATCATTATGTTGATTTATTTAAACTATAAAGCCCTTAATAATTCATCAATTAAGAAGTGGTTGTTTATAATATAATTCATTCAAGATATAGAAATAATGTGATTTACTAGTTTCTTTTTTTATAATAGACATCAAAAAAAAAAAAAGTTTAGCAAAGACATTTTAATTAATCATCAATTCATTTCATTATAAATAAAAAAAACTTTTTTCACTTTTTAAAAATTACTTTATGATACAAATTTCTTAAATTGAACTGGATGAGGGATTGAAATGTTAATTTTTTATTTTTTTATTTAACAAAGATGATCTACTACTAATCCATTTTTATTAAAACAACTTAACCTCTCTTTATCAACCGAGATACAAAAAAAAAAAAAAAAAAATAGAGTGAAAGATGGTGAACTAGAAAGAAAAGAAAAAAAAATATATTTTTTGACAAGATTTGAATATATGAATTATATACAAAGTTTTGCCACTTTTCACTCATCTAAAAAAAAAAGATATACTAAATAGTGATTTGATGTAAAGATAAAAAAAAATTTCCCATCTAAAGAAGAAATCAAGAACCAAAACTACTAAGTAATAAGGTTACTATACATTGTATAAGAAAAAATCTTTCTTCGATTTCGTTTCTTAGCATACAAGAAAAAAAGGTAAGGAGCATAAAATTTCTCGAAAGTTAGAAGTTAACAAATGAAAGAGACAAAAAATTATTATTTTTTTTTTTAATCAACCCTTTTCAAAATACCCTTAAATCTACGTTAATATATAACTTTATTTCTTGGAACCTTGAACGGTAATATTTAAACTGATCGTAACAGGTAATTCGACCTCTTCACCTTCAATGTCTACCTTAATCTTTCCTTTTGGAACACTTGCTGTCCATCCGTAACTACCAGTAGCGTTTTTATGAGGCTTGGCGGTCAAGGTGTACAATGGTTCATCTTCGGTTGGTGTTATATCTTCAACCGAATCACCATTCTTTGCTGTGGATTTTGTGGATTTTGCTTCCTCTTTTGTTTTTTCTTTTTCTTCATCGGTTCCTTCTTTTTTAGAGGTATCCTCCTCATGTTCGTCTTCTTCCTTATCGGTAACAGGATAAGAGATTACCAATTTAAGTTCTTGAGCATGGGCCAAGAAATTTTTGGATGTAGGAAGACTGGGACCAGCATCGGTTTTCTAAAATTAATTAAATTTTGATCGCGAAAAATATTTCAGCAAAAATAAGATATATTTAATTATGTTGATATGAATTTTATAGGGAAAAAACATTCTCTTCAAAGAAGAAATAAAACGCGTCTTTTTTTTTTGCATATTACTTCCTTACGCAAAAACTTTACTCGTTGAATATTGAGAGAGACCTCTGAAAAAAAGAATCTACTAACCTCGGTCTTAGCCTTTTTAGATGTTCCCGGTGCTTTAGTTTTAGAGGTTGAAGAAGTCGTTGCAGCTGCAGCTGCAGCTTTAGCTTCTTCAGCTTTAGTTTTCGCGGCACGTCTAGGATTAGTCTTACGTTCAACAGTAGTTTCTTCGGAAGTTTGTTTTCTTTTACGTGAAGAGGCTTTTTTAGCAGTCTCGTCCCCAACTTCAGTAGTCATATTTTTTTTTTGTTTATTTAACAAAGTATTGAAAATATATTATTTATTGAAAGAAACTTCTCACTTTTCTCTTTTATTTTAAAAAAAGTTTTGTTTATGAAGAAAGTTTTTTTTTTTATACTTTAAGGGAAGGGAAATGTTGCCGTTATTTATTTTGCGGGGAAAACACTATGCGATTATGCGGTGTTGACTGGTGGGGCGTGATGAATAATACACAGTATGTATTGTACGATATGATATGATACAATATGACATATATATATAGCGATAGTATTGAATACATAAGATACATATATTGTGTAAAAAAAAAAAGTTTGTTTATTTCTCGATTCTTTTCAAGTTAATCACTTTTCTTGGTTTTTTAGTTATGCATAACAAGATTATTTCAAGATTTTTTATTCTTTTTCTTTTTTCCTCTCATTAAATATAGGATTTTATGAAACTCTAAATGATGTGGTTATACGATAAAATTGCTTAGCCTCAAAAAAAAAAATATTTTGACCTTTATGTTATTGTTTTACTTTGGTATTAGGCAATCAGAAGGTTTATCATATTTGGGTGCATTATTTATTATTTTTTTGAACTCTTTTTTAGAAAGATTAAACTTAAATTTGTTTTGTTTTGTTTTAAAGAATAAAAGAATCTTTTTGTAGGTCATTAAAAAAATTTTTTTTCTTATTCACACGCTAAATTTAACTAATTTTTTGACGGACCTTATTCCGATAAATTAACGCTTATCGATATGTCCAAGACAAATTACAAAATAATACTTTAATCTTCATATGTCAAGTTCTTTGGCGATAAACGTTTATCGTCTCTATTATTTACATATGGTTGGTTAATAAAATATCGTTTCACGTGATGTATTATTCATGTTTTTACCAAGTTTAGTTAGTTCAATAATTCATAATAATTTAATGATAAATTATTAAAATTATTTTTCTATAATAATACTTAAATTAATTTACAGAAAGCTTTTATAGAATGTACAAAAAAAAATTTTCAATTATTTAATTTAATTTATTAAATCAGAAATTTTTAAAACTTATTAATATTTAATATTTGATTAATACAATTTATTGAATAATATTAAACCATAGGTATTTTATATTAAAGTTTATATTTAAATTTCAAATTATTATAAAATTTATAAAAATTATATTATTTTATTTTATTTCAAAAATTTCATTAATTTAATTTTAATTGATAAAAATTTATAATTTGTTAAAAATACTATTTTTTTTCTATAATTATCTGTTGTTTTTAATTAAATCATAAATAACTTAATATATAATTAAGATTACAAAATTCTTGTCAAATAATCATTTCACTAATATTTAAATCTAAATTTTTTTTTCAAAATAATTTATATTTCTTTTATTATAATAAATGATTATATTTAATAATAATCTTTTTGTTTAATAACATATTTAGGAATTTAAGATTAACCAAATTAATAAACTTTAAGAATATTACTATTTTTTTTATAAAATAATAATATATCTTTTATAATGATATAAAAGAACTTTAATTTACTAAAAATATTTTGCATAATATATATTTTTATTTCAAAAAATTTTATAATTACATAACTTTAATAAATGCAAATAGTTTTTATTATTCAATTTGATCTAATAAAAAATAGGCTAAATAAAGTAATTAGAATTAAAAAAAAATATTTCTACTATTTTTACTTTTAAAAAGGATTGCATATTCTTTATTTTTTAAATTAAATTTTTTCTTTTATATATCAAATAAAAGTATTCTTTTTAAATATCAAGAAAAAAATAACTAAAAAAAATTTTTTTAAATTAATGTTAAAACTAAATTTATTTTACTAAAAAAATAATATTTAGCTTATAAAAATAAAAAAATTTTTTTTTATAAGTTAAATAAATTAATTTGTTTAAAATTGGTTTAGATTATTATAAAATAAATTATAAACTAAACAAACTGACTTATAATATAGTTTAACTTATTAATTTATTATCTTTAAAAAAATATATTTAAAGACATTTTTTAAAAAAAAAATGATTTATTATTATTTACATTTAATATAAATATCTTTGAAGATATTTTTAAAAATCATTCATTATAGTATTTTTTTAAAGAAAAACATATTTAGAGTTATTTTTTTAAAAAAAATACTATTAAATAAATTTTTTGAAAAATTTTTACTTTTGAAATGATTTTTTTAAAGAATTTGCTTTTAAGATATTTTTCTTAAAAATATTTGTTTTTAAAAAGTAATTTTTTTTAAAAAAATATCTTAAAAATAATTTTCTTTTTTTAGAAAATTTTTTTAGAAATACTTTAAAAATAAAAAAATAATTTTTTCAAAAATTATTTTAGTAATTTTCTTTAAAAAATATTACTTAAATATTTTTTTTTAAAAATATTATTCCAAAAATATTTCTTTTAAAGAAAATTATTTTAGAAATATTTACTTTATAGAAATTATTTTAAAATACTTTTCTTAATAAAAATCATTTAAATATTATTCTTAATAAAATTTTATTTTAAAATATTTTATTAAATTATATAAGCTATATAAGTTAACTAGTTAACTTAAGATCTGAATTAATTTAGTTTAAATTATTGATTAATTATTATAAGCTAAGTTAAAATAAAAATAGCTTGACTTAATATAATAGCAAATCAGGTCAAATTAGCTTATATAAACTTAAATTATATAAATATTTTTATTTTTTTATAATAATATTCTATTATATTTTAATAATTTTAAAATAATAATAATAAAGCTAATAATTCTAATATTAATATTTAAACTTTTTTTTATTTTCTTTTAAAAGAATTATTATAGATTTTATTTCTCTTATTTTTAATATTATAACCTAATTATTATAATATAACTGATTTACTTAACATAATATAAAATGTTTACATAATTGATATCATTAACATAATTAATATATTAAATATATTTAACATAGATAAAATTATTAAAATAATTAAATTAGTTAAATTAGTTAATATAGTTAAAATAGTTAATCATTAATATATTATTTTATATATTTTAAAATAAATATATAGATAGTGTTGACAACTTTATTATTCCAATTGCATGAATTAGACAATTGAACATATAAAATTCATATGTCTAATTCAAATTGTGACGCAATTTTACTAAATTCAATTGGTCCAATTACCAATTATTATAATATAAAAAATTTAACATTTCAATAGAATTTTCTGAAAGTGATCTACATCTATCATTTAAAATTCTTTTATAATTAAAAAAACATCAACTTCTGAAATATGTAACTATATGTAAACTAATGTAATACTTGATAAATTTGAAAAAATTCTTTATTTTCTTGTTAATATTAATTTAAATTTAAATCATTTTTTTCAAAAATTTTTACTAAATTATAATAAATTACTTATTTAGTTATAATAGAATTAGAAGGATTTTATTATAATTAGTTAAAATATATATATTTTAAGATTATCGAATAAATTGAGGATTAAAATATTGAATTACATTGAATAATAATAAAGCAGAATAAGAATCTATATATTTTTCAAATTTTTTTAATATTAATTTAAAATTTTTAAAAATAATTAGAATAAAATATTTATAATTTTGATAATTTTAAGATAATAGTTATGTCATTTCTATATAATTAGTAAGTTATTTATTCTATTTTGTAAAAATGCTCTTATTTGTTCAATTCTTAATAAAACAAAAAGAACAATAGCTAAATTTCTTATTTTAAAAAATTTAAGACCTAATACTAATCTAAAAATATTAAAACTTTAATTTTTAATAATAAATTAGTAAAAAATATTTTTAATATTTACCTTTGTGTATACATTAAATAAAATAAACTTAATTAAAATATTTTTGATTTTGATTTTAAAAATCTCTTTTAATTTTTTAATAGCATTAGAATTTTTTTCTACAGATTCTTCAATAAAAAATATAACAATATAATGATAATAATTTTTCATTCAAATTAAAATTTAAACCAAAAATTCTATTTAGTCTTGATAGATAAAAAAGGTAAATTAACAAATAAATCTTGTGTATTTTTTTCATCAAATAAATTTCATTTGTATTTAAAAGAATAGATTTTAAAATTAAATGTTCTCTCTATCTTCTTTTTTTTGCTACTAAATATACAAATAATATTTTAATATGTTTAACAATATCTAATAATTTAAAGTATTTAAAATTCACCTAAGTTTTACCAACAAGATTATAAATATAAGTAAAACATATATTATAAAATAAGTGTGATATTAATGAAAATAAAATATTAGTAAAAGCTTTTTTTATATATGATGCATTATTACTAATAAAAAATATTAAATTAGTAAAAGGAATATTGTAGTATTAACAAAAGCTTTTATAATTATTGTATTGTTAACAGTTTCTAAAAAAGAGTATTTACTAATTTAGTTTTATTTTGATAATTAAATAATACATTAAAAATATTTCTTTCACAATTATCTATTGTTTCATCCATAGTTACAAAATTTTTTTGATTAGTTAATTCAATCATTAACATACTTTTTACTGATTCAAAAATAGTTAAAAGATATTTTTATATAAATGATTTGTATTAATAATAACTTTACCTTTAATTTTTAATTTTTGATATTAATATAAATATTTAAAACAAAAAAATTATAAATATAAATATAGATAAAAAATCTTATTATTATTATAATATTTTATAAAAAAAAAGATTTTATTTATTAAATTTTTTCAAGTAAGATATCAGCATTAGTGAATGTTTTAACAGGTTATAAATTTATTTCTTATTTTTTTAATCTAATTTGATAAATATTTGGGATAGTTATTTGTAAACTTTCAGTACTCTCATAAACTTCTTTTTTTTTTAAATAAATTAATAAGTTTATATAACAGACTTACGTTTATGATTAACTATATAATTATAAAATTTATAATATAATTTTTATTTCTAAACGAAAATAAATTTTAAATTGAGAATTTTTTGATAATCTCTCAA